TATTTTTCATTTTCATACTTGGCCAACATTTCTAAAAATCCCTTTTTTGTATTAGCCTTAAGTAATATTCTAATTTTGTGACACGGAATTTTGGATTTTCATTTGTTGCCACTTCAAATCATCAAAATTAAATGAAATAAACATTTGAATGCATCAGTCTGTGTGCAATGAATAAATATAATGTACAAGTTACACATTTTGAATGCAATTAATGAAATAAATCAAGTTTTTCAAAATATTCCAATTTACTGGCTTTTACCTGTATTGACATTTTTCCACTGTATTCAGTACAGGATGGAATACACTCGGGGTGGTGGTTTTTGCACATTTACCATACACTGTATATCTTCAAACTGATAAACTTTTACTTACTACGGTTTTATCTTGATGTGTCTTGACTCACAAAATTGAAAATCCCATGCATTTTGTTCTATTGTAAATTTTGTCAGGTTGCATATTAACAGATTGAAGGGCTTCTAAGGACATAAAAAAATGTTTGACAGATGAGGAAAATGATTTGTATTTATGCAGTTTGGCTGCGTCAATAAGTACCCAGAATGGACCTCCAGTACACCCTTAACCTTTTTTACTGAAAAGACGAGAGGAATGGATATCTGATCTGATCTGATATAGGAGGCTAGATATGATAAGATTTGCTTGGAACAAGCTTTATGTGCAGAAAGAGTGAATAAAATATTTCAAACTAATTAAACTATTGTTTAAACACAACAGTGGTGAGTATGGCAAAATGCAGGTTTGTAGGAAACAAGCAGAATGACAACAGAAGAGGAAGAAATACCAACTAAAAGGCAATGGCAACAACAAAGAAATATTAATTAAATAACAGGGGAAAAAACAGGCGCAGCTGACGTGGTAAACAAAAGATTGGTGTATTGACAGACTGATGTAAAATTTTATTTAGCTCAATGAAGTTAAAAATATTTGATTCATACTGAAGGGAAACTGAATGTTGTAGTAACTCATAGGGATCAGTTGTAGATGGTGATTGCTGTAGGCAGGAAGGATCTTCGCTTCTGCTCTAAACTTCTGAAGAAGCCTTCGGCTTAAGATACTCATGAGGATGATCGTCAATTGTCCAAAACATTTTCATTTTTATTTTATGAAGAATTTTTCTTTGTGAAATCTTCTCCAGAGGCTCTAGAAAATGCAGTCTTTCTTATTAGCTTGTTGAGTCCCAGCAGATATTGGGAGAAGAGATCCAAACTTTTCACAACAGACCTATAGAAGATATGCAGCATCTCTCTGAAAACAGTGAAGGATTTAAGCTTACTCAAAACTCTGTCCTTGCTTCTCTAGTCTAGTTTGGTGTCCAGGTGAAGACCAAGATATTTCTACTCCCCCACCACCTCCAATTCTTCTCCCATGGTGTTAACAGGATTCAACTTCTTCCTGTTTCTTCTGAAATCTACAATCATCTCCCTTGTTTTGTTGACATTCAGGTTCAGATGATTGTTTCCACAACATGTGAGCCAAAGCAGTTTATCAGCTCTCTGAACTCAGGTTCTTGTCCATCTTTGATTCACCCAATCACTGCAGAGTGATCCGAGTATTTCTGGAGATAATTGGATTCCGTCTGGTACTAGAAGTCAGAGGTGTACAGAGTAAAAGC